ATAATCGTTTCATTATAAAACCATAAAAAATATGAAAAAAGGAAATAAAAAGGAAATACATGAAAATTTTTAAAATCATTAAAATTTTTACTTCAAACATTTTATTATTTCCTTGGTCTTAAATTATCTTTTAGCTTGTTAAAAGGTCTGTGTAGCCTAACACGTAGAACTAAACAAACTTAATCTTAACCAAAGATATAAAACACTAACTCATCTAAACATGAACTCACCTGCTCTACAACATAAATAGTATATTCAATTTGCTGACGGTATAAAATAGGATGGATGTTATTCAGAAATATAGAAAGCTGGGCCTCCCTGTTTCGAAATGGAATAATTATAGCCACATTTTGCAAAAGGGTACAGTTTGGCTTGTAGTGTCCCCCATTGCTGAGCCATAAATATTTTTGTGCTACCTCCATATATGATACAGGGGTGATGTTTGGATTAATTCTTCCTACTGAAATAAAAAATGAAATCAAAGTTATATTAATAAATTTTCATTCTCATTATCTAATCTCATTCATGTGTCTACAATGTATAAAATAGACATGTTACATATTAAGATAAGATGATACGTTCCTCGGGTATTTTCTTTGTATGTTTTCGTTATCCATAAAAGATGACTGCATTTAAAGATATGCGAAATTGTGTCAAAATAAACTTTCAAAACAGACATTTTTCTTTTAAGTGCAGAAAGTATCAACATTTATTCTACATTTTTACTTAATTACAATAAATAAAAGTGTGTATTAACGATGAACTAATCTGTTTTTCAAGGCGGGGTCATCACAATTTCTTCAATCTCATTCGATAATGAGGACGCCCACTTTTTACTGACTTTATACATAGTCAGCGCATGTTTGTCGATTGTTATCCTTTTAATATAAGTTGTATATTTGCATTAGTAATGTGTTAAAATGAGATTTATAGACAAACATGCGCTCATAGTTTACACTCGCTCTCTCTGTTATAACCAAGGGCTATGCCACGTTGAATATAATAAGTCACCACGTGATATCTTTCCTCAGGTAATTTTGTGAAACTAAATTCCATCAGTTGACTTACTGGTAGCATGTTTTGTGCTTACTAGGACACTTTGCTTGAACACGTTAAATGCTCAACCATTGATTCAAAATACTCTTTACTTACATGGATGGGTTCAGACGTTTAAAACCTTTGTAAATGATATACTACCATACAGAAAAATAGAAAGATAGAAAATAGTAATCTCGTATCTTTAAATGCATGTCATTGTTATTCATCAAATTTAATTTTAGATCCATCCTTAAGATGTTAACTCCTCCTCTCATAGATACATAATGTTCAATCAAGGGCAGGTAATTGGAAATTATCTGTATTTGGAAAACCGAAAGGACAACAACATGAATTTCCTTATTGTCTATTGTCATTTAGTGTTAAATTAATTTAATTTAAATTGGATGTCAAATTGACAGACACCTGTACTAAATGTACAAAAGTGAAATTAGGTTAAGATTTAAAAGCAACAGTAGCTACCGAAAAAGACCCAAACCACATCGCGAAGAGCAGTCTTTCTTTCTCGAAAACCGCTCACGGTAGCATAGGGGTAGATCATTTGCTTCTTGATCGGGAGGCCCGGGTTCTATTCTCGTTGGAGGAGGCGCGTCAAACCAATGACGTAAACATAGGGATTGACTGTTCCTTCGTCAAGCGCTCGGCACTAGAGATGAAAGTCACGGGTCTTTCGGATATGACCTTAAATTGTGTTACGGTAGGCATTGGCACGATAAAAGACCCTCACTGCTCAATGACCCTGAATGCCGAGTGTAGGTCTAAATTTGAAACCTGTCACCTGCACCCGGGGTTTGACGTCTTCGTATGAGTGAAAAATTCTCGAATGGGACGTTAAACAAAATACCATCGATCAGTCGTTCTCGAAAACTCAAAATGCTATTTTCTTTACATTGGAAATTAAAGATGTTTCAAAGGCCTTATATACCCCTGGTATGAAACACAATCGCCTAATATCTTGCACAAATGCCTGGTAAAATACCTTAACCTTTTTATAGTTTACATGTTTACGATCACAGACTGAAGAAGAGATAAACATTTATATATATTATACTTTCATGTTAATAAGTTGAATCTGATTGGTCGAGAAACATTTGCTAAAAAACACTATTACCCACTGAATAATGAAGTCACGCCCTCCAGCGTAGCAACAGTCAATAGGCTTGACGACGGGTGATATTCCAAAAAAATAGCGACTGCACAGAATTTATGCGCGCACGATTCACTGTTATTGTATTTGTATAAAACATGCAGTATAATTTAATAAATATTGCAAGTGGTTGAGTGTAACATTGAAAATTTTCACCCCTCGAAAACCATTGTCAACCTCGACTGCGCCTTGGTTGACAATGGTTTTCTTTTGGGTGTAAATTTTCAATGTTACACTCAACTACAAGCAATATTTATATACTATATTACAGGCAAACCTATTTTGCAATAACCAGGTTGTATTCTTTAAGCAAAATTATACATCAGATAGTAATGTGGATTGTTGTGCATTACTCGAGAAATGGAAAACGAATGTAAGTCTAGATCTTAAAGACCTACACTTTACAGGCAGAATTTTCGGCAGGATAAAAATCTTGACGATGTCAATTATTGTTGGACCCTATTTAAGAAAATATTTCTAAAAACTTAATTGAACTCACCAAGCAGAGGGGAATACGCTGTGCAGCTGAAGTCCAATATAAACAGAAAAACAAACCAATACGTTGCACATGCCAATAAAACGAGGTACATAAAAATATGTTGTCTAAGACGTCTTAATCTGTTCCACTTAGGGGCTTTGGGCATATTCTGAAAAAAAGAAGAATTTTACACTTTTTAAGAGAAGATTCACTTTCTTTCTTTCTTCTTTCATTCTTTTTTTCTTGTGAAACATATGGAGATAACGAATAGTATTCAAGATCAAAAGTCCATAAAACAATATCAAATAGGAGAAGAGCAAACACGGACCTCTAAATCACCAGAGGTGGGATAGAGTGCCCTGAAGAAGTGAGCATCCCCTGCCGACCGATCACATCCGCTGTGTGCTCCTTGTCATGATCGGGAAATAACGGAAAAATTCCGTCGTCAATTCAGTGTATAAATAATGAACTAACAATTTGTATGAAAAACGTGAGTCAGCATTTGACTTAATGATAAATTGTATTTGCTGACAATGTCTATCTCTTCATTCATTTGTCGACTTGATTCTTCCCCAAATATGAGAAAAAAATATCAGAGTTAAGCACATCTGCTTCATGTGTTAAAATAACCACAGTACGTTTCTGAATAAATTCTACTACACGTGGATACAAAAATAGATATGTCTATGGTGGTACGGATTTAAAAATGAAGCATCCTCTTGATATCAACTTTGGATTACTTGTTTGTACGATCAGAATTATTTGAACAAAGTAATTTGTTTGCATACAATAGGGCGCAATTAACAAACATCCTCTTAATATCAACTTTGGAGTACTCATTTGTACGATCAGAATGTTTTAACAAATAATTTTGGAAATGACAAGGATAGTTTATTTACAAATTCCTTTTTTATTGAACAAGCAGCTGTGTTGCAACCACTACTGAAACTAGAGGTACTGTGAGCGATGAGCTCACTAAATGATACCCCCCGCCTCCCATATGGTTATAACTGGTGAAAAAGTCCATGTTTTCCTGTGGCCGAGAAACCCAAAATATGTGTCGGATCAAAAAGTAAAATAGGAGGTGCACAATGGCAACATGTAATAAAGATTCTGTGAAAGTTTCATCAAATTTCATTCAGTGGTATGAGAGGAGTTGCGGATAAGAGATGGGTACCCCAAAGCGTAACAGACGGACGGACAGACGGACGGACGGACGTACAGACGGACGGACGGACGGACGGAAATACCGATTACTATATACCCCCACTTTTCAAGCGGGGGGTATAATAACGACCACTATTGAAATAATTATATCAATAGTGGTTGAGAGTGCATTTCAATAACACACATAGCTAGTAACCACTATTGAAATACGACTATTATTGAAGTTGCAACCACTATTGAAATAATGTTCACTTTTGAAATAAGATTTCAATATGGATTGAATTATGGTTTTAGTTTTGAAGTATTATCAGCAACTATCAAAATAATTTTTTAAATCGCTTTTGAAATTATAATTTCAATAACTATCTAAATCTTCAGTTAAGGACAGATGATACAAACAAAATATGGATGCCTGGATTGGTATATATATTTTTTGTCTGATTTCATTGAAAATCATGTAAATACTAAATTTCTAGAATATAAAGAAATTTTGCCTCACTAAAACCATCCTTATTAATTACACTTTAATTATTAATCTATATATGTTGCACCCCAAATCCAATTTTTGTGAAATTTTGGATAAAAAATTAAAATTTACGCGGTGAAACTTTTCTTTCTATACCGGTCGTATTTTAATAGTGCTTGAAACCTACAGTAATCATACTGAAAAGCACTCTTCCCCACTATTGAATAATTATTTCAATGGTTCTCGTATTTCAATAGTTGTTGACACCTATGGTTATCATATTGAAATACATTCTCACCCACCACTGAAGTAATTATTTCAGTAGTTAAAATCTACGTATGTTATTGAAATGCACTCTCAACCACTAATGATATATAATCTCAATAGTGGTCGTATTTCAATACACAGGGAAAAGTGGCTCGCATGATTTTCATGCGATTGCCTTTTCGTATGAATTTCGTGCGAAAATCATATAAAAACCATGCGAAAAGTTCCACATGCGAATTTCATGCGAATGTCCTCATACAATATTTATGCGAAATTCATGCGATTTTCTTGTGACTAAAGTTTCGCATGATATTCATGCGAATTCCAAATTATCAGTTTTTCATGTAAAAATTGTGCGAAATTCGCATAAATATCATGCGATATTCATATACAAGAGAAAAGATCAATGAACAAAGAAATTGAACATTTCAATATTTATTTAGGTTTTTCTGCCACATTGAGTGATAAGAATTGCAAGTCTCTGATATCATATTGCTTGAATGTTCCTAGGTAATCCATTGACTTTAATGATAGCTGTGTTTACAAGCAGTTTTTTCAGTACGTCTTTTTCAGTCTTGTGTCCTGACAAGCGTTTCCTACAAAGAAATTTTGATTATTATAAAATACTATTACCCATACTAATATTTCAATTGTTTAGGTCAGAGGGACCAATTCCTAAATTAATAGATGACATAAAATACAATGAATTCAATTATATCATGTGAAAAGCCCATGTTTTGGCAACTTGTATATATATTACTGAGTATGTTAAATGGTATATATATATATATATGTTTAGAGCAAAACAAAAGACAATGTGTTAAGCACATTCATAACTGCATAATAGACTTTAATACATACAGTGTCTTATTGACCTACTCTATATATCCTGATATCAGGCTGCTATTGAACCAAATGAGATAAAATGTTTCATTTTAATTGTGATATTCCTATTGGATGACAATAAACATGTCATTGATGATTTTTTAAAAAATTACATACAACAGTACAATACTGAAAAGCTTGATTTTTTAATCTGGATAGAATTATTAGAATAGTACCTCAACTGTGAATAAATCAAATGCAATAGTTAATTTTTTTTTGCATAGACCTCAAATTAACAGATTAATCCCCTAGAAGATGGAACCTTTTGTTGGACCTATCATCCTATGTCTAAATTATTTTGTAGGATACACTTAGTCTATTGAAGCTGTGGTTACAAGTCTCTACATATGTGTCAGAACAAAACACACAGTCTGTGTATTTGTGTAGAGACTTGTAATGACAGTTAGCTAAAATAAAAATAACTTTAAATTACTTACTCAAAATTAAGTAAACCTTCAAATAGATGTCACTAAGCATAAAGACCATTCGATTCACCTGGCTGCGTTACGTAGAACCTGAAATGAGAACGAATTCCGAATTTACTCTGAAATATTTCGTTGCAAGTTGAATTATCAATAAAAATGTGCTTTATAAACACAAAATATGACAAACAATTAACAAAGCATACATATTTACCATTGTTTTAAAGAATTATATCACAATCATCCAGAAGGAGTCTTGAACAAACCATAGAAGGGAACTCTCGCTGACTTTTTTTTTTTTGTAACAGGAAGTGCAAATGGAACCTGGCTATTCAGTTTCGTATTCATCCTAGAATCGGAAAATACCTTAATTTTTATAATTTTCGTCGTTCAAATTTTTATCTTGAAAATGTATCTCCGCTTCAAAGACGAACGTTGATGACTAAGTGATATAATTTTACTTTATGGAACCAAAGCTAGTTTTTTTTTTTTTTTTTATGGAATGCCGTACGTCACAAATTACGTCATCATGCGGCTTAGAAAGCAGAAAAAAAGAAAGAGCAGAATGTTTTCAACTCCATATTTTCTGTAAGTTTGTAAGATTCTCATCTTTTTTTTATACCAGATAGATGTAATAACTTTATTTGGGAATATCTGTTGACTTAATCATAGGCGCTTATGGTTACAGGATGGTGTGTTTTGTGTACTCTTTTTATATAGGCCTACAGTAAATATGACATTTTTTAAAACGTGCTTATTTCGGCGAATTTTGAGTTTTATTTTAATGAGGGTATTCAGGCACACATAGAAAAACACATTGCACAAAATACACCATCCTGTAACCAAGCGCTTATGGACTTAATAACAGATTCAAATGGATCTAACATTATCTATGGTAACGTTAGGCCTACATGTTGTATGTGTTGAAAATGAAAGATGGGCTTGATACAGGTTCTCTGCTTTTCTTTCAATATTATTGAAAAGGTCTATTGAACGAGGGTAGGCCTAATGTTTTGGTTTGTTTTTAATTCCTGTTGCACCGGGATCTGGTATATAAAATTAAACCTGCAGCAATCAAATAACACACAAAGTGGCGAATCCAAAGGGGGGTGTAGATAGAATGTTTTATCATTAAAATGATAAAATTAATGTCCTACAGACCTGGTGAGAGCTTGTCCCGAGACACAGATTATTCTAACTACGGGGGTTGCAACTCTCCCTTTGGATTTGCAGAAAAAAAGAAGAAGAAAGAATAAGAAGAAAGTTCCAAATTTTTGTTTGTTTGTGTTTTTACCATAGAAAATGTTCAGTAAAAAGCTAATGTTGTAATGTATAAAAAATTTGGTCGTGAATACAAAATGTCCCCCTTACAAAATAGCTAGGATTCTCTGGTTCTGAGATCAATATTTTCCTTTCTTATATTATTCAAAAACTTTTCAGGTAATCCATACAAATACTTTTTTCTAGTTTAATCAATCTCCTCCTTTAAAAACCATGCATATTCCACCCGGTGTCCTATTGAGTTATTTTACTACATGCTCGTGTAAAATGTACATTATAATAACACCCCCCCCCCCTTTGAAAAAACCTTCAACCCCTCAAAAAAAAAATACCCACTATCCTGTCCACAAGTACCTGTGAGCATTCCAAAATATATGCAGATATAAAGAGGCTTACTTACATCTAGATTGCAAGACTGAAAGTCCTAGTCACTTCCCAAAAATTAGTTGAACTGTACATATATACTGGTACAAAAAATTTATTTAAGTTTCGAAAATAATCTATTAAATGTTGTATTCTATACTTACAGGTATAATTTGCTGACCAGTAATAAGCAGATCTATGCATGGCACTCCATTATACCACACTGATAGCTTCTCAAAGATTATAAATATGATACATGTAACATGTGTAAACAGGTAAAAAAAATCTAAGAGAGAAATATTTTTTGCAGAGCCTGAGGTATACATTGTTTGATATTATACTTTCATGTAAATTACTTGAATCTGATTCGTCGAGAAACATTTGATAAAAAACACTACTACCCGCTGAATAATGAAGCCACGCCCTCCTGCGTAGCAACAGTCAACATTGCTTGACGACGGGTGGTATTCCAAAAAATTAGCGACTGCGCGGAATTTAAGCGCGCACGGTTCACTCTAATATGTATTTGTATAAAACATTCAGTATAATATAATAAATATTGCATGTAGTTGAGTGTAACATTGAAAATTTTCACCCCTCGAAAACCATTGTCAACCTCGGCAACGCCTCGGTTGACAATGGTTTTCTTGGGGTGAAATTTTCAATGTTACACTCAACTACATGCAATATTTATATATTATTACATGTATAACAATTTTGTTATTACATGTACACATGTAGCAAAACCTTAACCATTCAGCTTATTTTTGCTTATCTTTGCATTTCTTTAATGTAAATACATGTATATAATCTTCGTTAATTTATAGAATACATGTTTTAAATAAAGTGACAAAGGGATAAAGAACTAAATGTTATTGAACCTACAGACACTATCTGACATTTCTGAGTTTCTCTGTAGGCACAGTTACTTGTCATCACAAGGATCAGAATTCAAGTACCAAGGTAGTCCTAACTCCTAAATCTTCCTGATTGTCAAAAGTACATGTAAGTATTTTATAATATTTTTTGTTAGCTCACCTGAGCGGAAGGCTCAAGTGAGCTTTTCTGATCAAAATTTGTCTATTGCTTTTCTGATCAAAATTTGTCTATTGTCTGTCTGTCGTTGTCATTGTTGTCATTAACTTTTCACCTTTTTGACTTCTCAAGAACCACTGGGCCAAATTCAACCACACTTGGCACAAAGTATCTTTAGGTGAAGGGGATTCAAGTTGTTCAAATGAAAGGCCATATGCCCTATTTAAGGGGAGATAATTTTGAAATAGTGAAAATTTGATGGTATGATTTAAAAATCTTCAGACTTCTTCTCAAGAACCACTGTGCCAGGAAAGATGAAACTTACAGGGAAGCATCCTCAGGTAGTGTAGATTCAATTTTATTCAAATCATGACTCCCAGGAGAAGGGCGGGGCCACAATGGCCAATCAAAGTTTTACATAGAAATATATAGAGAAATTCTTTAAAAATCTTCTTAAGAAACACTGTATTGAGTGTAATGTAGATTCTAAATTGTTCAAATCATGACCCCCGGGGATAGGGCGGGGCCACAATGGGGAAGGAACGTTTTAAATAGAAATATAAAGGAAAAATCTTTAGAAATATTCTTCTCAAGAACCACTGGGCCAGAAAAGCTGAAACTTATGTGGAAGCATCCTGGATACTGTAGATTCTAAATTGTTCAAATCATGACCCCCGAGGGTAGGGCAGGACCACAATGGGAAGTCAAAGTTTTATATAGAAATATATAGGAAAATTCTTTTGAAAATCTTTTTCTCAAGAAACACTGTACCAGGAAAGTTGAAACTTATAGGGAAGCATCCTCAGGTAGTGTAGATTAAAGTTTGTTCAAATCATGATCTCTGAGGCAAGGGTGGGGCAAAAAATACTGATCAAAGTTTTACATTGGAATATATAAGAATTTTTTTAAAAAAAATCTCAATTCTCAAGATCTATATTATCAGGGACAGGAAAGATTAAACTCATATGGAATCATCCTCAGGTAGTGTATAATTAAATTTGTTTAAATCATAACCTCCAAGGATAGGTAAGGATCTCAATGGTGGATCAAATTTTTACATAGGATAATTAAGGGAAAAATCTCAGGAACAGAAAAGCTATGTTCACAGTCATATTGACATGTAAGCATCCTCATGTATTGAAGATATAAATTTGTTCAAATCATGAGTACCCTTTGGGGTAGGAATGGAAATGATGGGGTGTCAAATTTCTTCGTCGACCCACCACCACACCTTTTCAGTAAACTTTTTAATTCTGATCTGATTTGTGTGTTTTCTTAGCTGATATGGTCAGGTGAGCGATGTGACCCCTGGGCCTCTTGTTTAAAATTTTGACAATTATGACTAAGCTGGGAATATTTCATTGAATTTTTCTCACCTAAGCTAGAAGCTTAAGTTAGCCCTTTTTATGCCCTTGTATTAAACAAAGTTTCGGGGTATATAGTTGTTCTTGTGTCCATCTGTCTGTCTCTCTGTCTGTCTGTTTGTCCGCAAAAACTTTAACCTTGCCCATAACTTTTGATTTATTGGAGCCATGACTTTCATATTTCACATGTGTATTCCTTCTGACAAGACCTTTCTTTTGGTACCACAAAATTTGACCTCTGGACCCTGACCTTGGAGTTTGACCCACTTTTACATGAAAATTTTAAACTTTTACTTTGGCCATATCTTTTGAACAGTAGACACCAGGACATTTATGCTTCACAAGTGTATTTTTTTACTGAAAGACCTTTCATTGGATACCAACAACCTTGACCCTTTGATCTTGACCTTGTAGATTTCTGTACCTGTGAAAAACTTGAACTTTGGCCATAACTTTTGAATGGTAAGGGATACAGCTTTAATACTTCATATGTATATGTAATCCTTGTTAGAAGACCCTTCATTGGATACCCAGAACTTTGACCCTTTGACCTTGACCTTTGACTTTGACCTACATTAAAAAAACAAGCCTTGACCATAACTTTCAAAGGGTTAGGGCTAGTGCTTTCATATTTTACATATTTAATTCTTGTAACAAGACCTTTTACTTGATAACAAGAACTTTGACCCTTTGACCTTGACCATGGAGTTTGACCTAATTAAAAATAAAATTAACCTTGGCCATAACTTCTGAAAGGTTAGGGTTAGGGCTTCCATACTCTACATAAGTAATTCTATGTGGCAAGATCTTTCATTGGATACCAAGTAACTTAGCCTTTAGACCTTGACCTTGGAGATTTTTGTACTTATAAAAAAAAATTTTTAATAATGGCCTCATACTATCAAATTTCACAATTGCTTTCCAGTGAGAATATCCTACTTTTGGTACCTATTAATTAAATTTGCATTTAAGAAAAGTTTAATCTTTGCTATGTTGTCATACGGGGGCATCAGTGTTTCACAAACATATCTTGTTTTTGGTCAAAATTTGTCGTAAAATTTTTTATTTTCATGCATTGTTGATCGAAACTTTAAATGCATTTTATAAAAAAAAAGTACAATTGTAAAAATACCAGCTTATTAAAAATTCTTAAGTTTGTGAGATTCTCAATAATATGATACATTGCAGCTAGTGACACAAGAGAAGAATGTGGAGTAAATGCCAATAAAGGCTCGACTGCAGGGGTATACCTGACTTC